AATCTGGTCACGCTATATGTTATCTATGGCTGTACGTGTGTGAAAAATAACGGAAAATTTAAGCAAATTTGTGGATTTCAAAAAATTAAAACTTCAGAAATTAAAAGATATTAATCTGCTTTTGTTTTTCATTGACTTTAAAGCTGTATTAAATTTTACATTTATAACAATATGATTTTTGCATGGAAACTTTTTGAAAAACGTAAAAATTACTTAAATTTAACTATTTCACTAGTATATTGTGCAAATTTTCGGTGTAAAACTAAGTCCACATAATTTCTAAGCTCGTCAAAATGAGCTACCATGCAGGTCATGTGGGAATAACAACCCCGCATTCGACGCCAATGACCTGTCGCACTTGTCGTGAAGCCATTTGTACGATAGTTAAATATCTGCCGACTGTTAAGACACACAGACTCGTATGTTAATCGGCTTCATGCTCTGTCTTAAGTTATGAGTACATATGTATGTACGTACATAAATGTACATGTCGTACGAAAGAATCTAAATCTTTATCGGCGGCGAAAATTCCTTGATTATAGAACCATTTATTATTTTGGTATATAGGGTTGCCAAATAATGATTTGAAATTCAAAACCTATTCGAAATAACAATTCGATGCAATTGAAACGATTCCATTATAAATAAATACACGTTTATATCAACATAATATGTTGTACTTACTGTCAAAAAGGGTTGCCAACTGATTTGTAAACACAATAAAAATTTATTTTTCATACATACACATATGGATGTATGTATAACAAACAATTATGCAAAGATGATGAAGTCATATTTGATTATTGGCTATGTATATATAGCAGCTCTTCTCATAAATATTTCTATATACATGATTTTTCGTATCTCTTTAGTTTGATGCCCATATTAAGCCTATACATTTTTTTACTTACAATTTTCAAATACGTGACAACCGTCTAGCTTTTTAATTTTACAACAACTGCGTAATGCAACAAACAATTCCAAAAGTAATTAAATCATTTCTCAAATTAATATTGAAGGAAATACTAAGTAATTTTAAAATCATATAATTGTATTTTATATATAGTACTTCCGGTAAAGATAAGAGATAAATTTTGAGCAAATATTTCCTTAATATTAAATTTGGCATACTGATAATTATGAACTGTGTTTTTATAGGTTGGATTATTTTTAAGTAAAGATCAGACATTTTAAAACAATTATACATACATATATTATAAGAAGCAACTCTGCTGCCGCTGTAACATTACAACGTCACTACCATTCGGTGATGGACAGCTTATAGCTCAAACAATCACCGACACACCTCCCTTCCGTACGTCAGCTGATACGAAGTATCTTATGAAAACGTAATGTAAATGAACACTCACCACTGCTTCTACCGCTTAGCTTAGTTTTGAGCTTTTACATTATGAAAAATTATACCTAAAAAACTAAATGTGTGAAAAATCGTGTATACAAATAGAACAATGGTAACATTGGTGAAATGAAAACATAAGAGAATAACTGATTTCTGAGTTGCAACTACGGGCATACCTTTTCACAAATTTGGTTTGATACGGGCGGTAAGTACGGAAGGGAGGAATATCGGTGACTGTTTGAGCTATTAGAATCAGTCTTAGTCATCAAGGAAAAAATTTTATTTTTTCTGTTGACATTTTTGCTCTCAATGACCACCCAGACTCTATACTCGTTTTTCAGAGCGCACCACCGAAAAGCTCAATTTCAAACTTCTTCGACTCACTAACGTAGCGTATGCTTAGCTAAAAACTCAAATTCTTATTTATACAACAGAAGAGAAGTTAAAATGCTTAATCATCACCCTTTTTACCCAACAACCTAACTTCAAAAGCAAACAAAAGCAGGCCAACTGCTGCGCGGGTGTATTGCAGCTCCCAATTTGTGATCTTACGCTGACGTCGGCGTCGTTCGTAAATCATGAAACAAGGCAAACCTGGATGCGATAAGCACACTCAATGGAACTATATAGCACCATATAAAAAGTTATCATTTGAAGAACGCTATCGAACGTACAAATTTGTCTCAGTTAAGTATCGTCAGTAGTGCCGTTCGCATACCCGAAGTCGGTGGAGCGCGCAAAACTTTAGAAAAACAAATAATTAAATAAAGTTTTATACGTCATGTCGAACCACGGACAGCCACCACCATACTCCCAGCCGGGCTACACGCCGGCGCAGTACTATCAGCCGCCACCACCGCAAATGGCACCGCCACCGCAATCACATACGGTGATCATACAGACGACGCGTCCACCTTTGGTACCGGTCAGCAATTCACCGACGCGCATCACTTGTCCCTCGTGCCACGCCGAAGTGTTGACCACCGTTAAGCATCAGGCGACGACACGCACGCATTGCTGGGCGTTGGTATTGTGTATTGTTTTGTGAGTTCAAGTGCAATTTATTACAATCACAACAAAATATTAGTACAGAAAGTATGGATTAAAAAATATTTTACTATTGAAATTATTCTAACTTTTTCATTACACTACTTCGTGGAATTTCATAAGTTAATAAAGTGCAAACCATTTACAGTTGGCCGTTATAGCACTCATACATAATCTTATCGGCTATAAAATCTTATCAAATGCTGATAAATATTAGCTGAAGTACACTGTCTAGTGAGTTTGTCGCTAGTCGCTAATAACCGACAAATAATTTTGCACTGCGAAAAATATTTTTGAAGAGAGTTGCCAAGTTTAGAAGTGGAACTACTTCAATTATGTTACTAAAACGGTACACAACATGGAATTGTTTGCTGTAACAAAAAGGCCACACGTTTGCGATTTGCACAGTTCGTGTGTACTAAACCAAAAAACAGGTTACCACCTGTTTGAGAATATATACTAAAAACAAAATATATTAGATAAGGAAACAAAAAATATTAAAGTGAAATTTAAAAAAAAAATTAAAGAACACTAAAAAAACGTTAACTTCGGTTGCACTGAGGCTATAAAATACAAAAGTTTCCATACAGAAACCTGATTTTGATAGGTCGGTTCGTAATTCAATAATTGGAAAATAATACATACCAAGCTTTCCTCAGAAGGGCAGGATTTTGAGCGATTAGTTTGTATGGCAGCTATGTGCTATAGTCGTCCGATACGGCAGTTCCAAGAAATCAGCAGCTTCTTGGGCAGGAAAGGAGGTGTGCAAAATTTCATATCGATGTTCCAAAAACTGAGGTACTACTTATGTATATATCGAGTTTTCCAATAGGGATGATATGATTTCTACGTATCGTTTCGGCCATTTTTAATCATCATGATCTGTAACTTTTTTTCGTTGTACTTGTATTCACTGATGATTACAATTTCATCATGGAAAAATATTTGCAAGAACAACGTTTATAAATTATTAAATTTTATTATTAAAATAAGCGTTCTCCAATTGCAACTTTTCGTGCGCTTTTCGATTCTCACTATCATTTGCGTGGTGCGGTAAATTAAAAAAAAATGTCGATTCTATCATTACTTTCACCTAAATTCACAGTTTGGTGTGGTTTTTGGTCTGGTGGAATCATCGGTCTGTACTTCTTTCGAAATATAGCTGGTGACACCGTTACAATAAAGAGCGGTATGGATCGATAATAACCAACTTTTTATCGCCGCAATTGGAAGAAGTTGATCTTGACAGCATCAGGTTCCAACAAGACGGGGCTACGTGCCACACAGCACGTGCAACAACCACATTATTGCGAGGAAATTTTGGAGATTCGATAATTTCAAGAAATTGTGACATAGAATGGTCTCCAAGAAGTTGTGATTTAATACCATAACACTACTTCTTATGGGGTTATTTGAAGTCATTGGTATTTAGCAATAAACTAAACTATCTTCAAGCTTTAAAAGTCAATATTGCACGTGCTGTTCATAACATACGACTTGATTTAGTGGAAAAAGTTCTCGAAAATCGCTCCTGCTAAAGAAGTCGTGGCCATTTGAATGATGTTATACTCAGAACTCGATTGTACTTCACATTAAATAAAAAACATTTCAATTTCCTTGACAATTAGTGTGTGTGTGTTTTTTTTTAAATAATCATATCACTCTTATTGGAAAATCCTATATATATATGGTACATATATATTTTATAGCGTCTCCAAAGTCTTCTTTTGGGTGTTACAAACTTCTTGACAAACTTAAAATACACTGTTCAGGGTAAACAAATTGTAAAAACGGTTGCCACTTGTTTGTAAATTTGAATTCAAAACAATTTATTTAATAAAATATCACTATTATCTGAATATTTTAAAAATGGATAAATGTAGATGTGTTTGAGAGTGGTAATTCCCAGCTTTGAAAAATAAGTAAAACCTACAATAATGGGTAATGGTATTTAAAATCCATCAAAAAAAATAATAATAATATTAATAACAACAGAGCCGTCAGCGCAGTATTTTCTAGTCTTGAAAAAGAAGCAAAAGAGGTTGGTCTTGTGGTAAATGAAGGCAGGACAAAGTACCTGGAGGCCCCAAAGATTCCTTGCGTGTTGGCAACTATACATTTGAAAAGGTTAAGGACTTTGTATAACACGAAACCAGCATAAATTCCACCAATAATCTAAGCCTGGAATTAGGTGCAGTATAACTCTTGCCAACAGGTGCTACTTTGGGATTAGTAGGCAATTGAGAAGTAGATTCCTATTGACGAACAAAAATTACGTTCTGTATGTCTATAACACCCACGGTCGGACTAAAGACTCTAAAGTTAAAGTATAATAAGCTTACCAGCTATCAAGTTTATTTACAAAAATTAAAAGAAAAATTTAGAAAATTGCTAGTTAGTTAGGTGGTTTGTACAGTTGTAAAAAATATATTTAATGCGTGATCAAAAAATATTTTGAATTTAATTAAATATTAATAATAACTGAGTCCAAAGCCCTTTTTAATTTCAATAAAAGATAGGGTCTTAAAAAATAAATCCAAGGGTAATATCACAAGTTAAATTTGGCTTTGCATAATAAATAAAATAATTACACAATTAACCAGAAAAGCGCAGCCATAAATTAATAAAAACTTTATAAAATTCTAAATTTCCTTAAAATTACAAATTATATAAGAATATTTCATAAAATTGGCCTCATAACTGTTCTAATTAGTTGTCTAAATAAACTTGGGAAGTGCTAACAGTTAGTTTCCTGTTTAGCGTTGATGAGTCATCGCTGAAATTTCCGTCTGCTTTGTGGCCTATAACCAAGTTTATTATATTGACTGTTTTGTGTCGAACAAACAAAAGGAAAAACACATGCAAACATAAATAAGACATTTTTCTATCACTATAAAAGTAATAAATATACAAGTATGTTTTTTTTAAATAGAGATAACAGTAGACCATATAGCCTTAAATATGTTTCCTTCCTGGGAAAAAATGAATCATTGATAGTAATGGAGGTTATCGAATTATAAGATGAAACTTCCGCGTATTAATTCGCAATTAATATTAGTTGATAAAACTATACTTTCCATTTACCACGAAAACTTATAAATAACTACAAATAAAATGTATTTACTACCCGATTTATTGGCCATAAATTTACAGCAAGTATTATACTACTAATGCCACGATGTAAGCTTAAGCAACATATATTTTTTTTGTTTTTATAACAAAAAAGTACGTTTATTTATAACCCCCATTATACATATAAACGTTTTAATAAAAAATTGGATTATCGGTAAAGGTTAATATGATAAGGTTATCCGAAAGCTACGTTAAGAACTGTAATAAAATTGTCTTACTGTTTGTTTATGGTACAAAAACAACACTTTGAAGAGTTAACGACAAAAAAGTGCTCATGTTTTTGACCAATAGCAAAATGGCCGGAAAGATAAAAAAAAATCCCCTCTTGATACACTTATCGCCATGTCAAATACAAAGTTAAGCACCTGTTGACGATGATAACGTTCAACGAAAATGATATGATACTAAATAATAATTTGCAAATAAAATGACTACACATGGAGTCGAGCCATCATTACAGTATTAACTACAGTTAAGTTGTGTCCATTGTCATCGGCATACGCGAAGTGCATTTAGTGCGAGAAATTCGAAATAAAAAATAAAATAACAATTTCAACGCAAAGAAAGTATTAAAAGTGTTTAGTTCGCTACTTACTTAAAACAAAATCAAAACAATTCTCATACGTCATGTCAGATTTTGGAAAGAATCCTCCGCCATACACACAGCCTGGCTACACGCCTGCGCAAACATATCAACCCCCACCGACCACCGAAACTGTGATTATACAAACAACGAGTCCAGCATTCGTGCCCGTAAGCAATGAACCGACACGTATCACTTGTCCCTCCTGTCACGCACAAGTATTAACTAAAGTGGAACATCAGGCGAACTCGCGGACACATTGCTGGGCGTTGGTACTGTGCCTCGTATTGTGAGTTCTAGCGTGAATTTTTTCTTCTCTGTTTAAAAGAATTTAAATATTTCATCGGAATCTATTATCTTTGGATATCCGTGATTGCCATTTCCCGCAAGAACTAATGATATTTTTTGAGGTATAGAAATTCTCATAAGTGATATTTAACACTTCCGAAAGTCGCTTCGTATCTAATACATATATCCTTGAAAGACATTCTAACTGTATATATTATGTATAGTAATTAGAACGTATCATATATGACACAGAAAAGAAATATTGAGGATGTTCATCGAATAGAGAACAAGTTTTAACTCAAAAGTTTGAACATTTTGGATCATGGATCTTAGCGAATAAAAATGTTTATAAATTGTATAGAAACCTCAACAAGTTTATGGTATTATTTAAGAATTTACATTGATGGTTTTGCATAGTTAGTTATTCTTACTGCAGTAAACTATGTCTAAAATCAGTAACACATATTCGTTTTTTCCGTTTTGGTAACTCAGTTTCAGAATAATTTTAACACTGGTTAACGCTGTGTTCATTAGAATATATTTCTTCCCTTTGTACGAACTCTTGTAAAGAATTTTTTTATTTATAACTTTATCTCCATTTTGCATTACTCCCATCTACCATGATAAAAATAAATAACATATGTATGTATATATTGTAATATATGGTTTATGCTGCCTACATCCAGGCAGTCTGTTGCCTCTTCTCATCCAAGACACACACCAAATATTTAAAATAATACTCCCCATTTTTGTTTTTTTTTTTTGCGGGTGAGGAAAAATAGTCGACTACATATAAGTAGTTCAACAGTTTCCTATAAGTTATAAGTTTTTAATTTTTAAATAATTTTTTGTACGGCTTGACCGCCTCAGCTAAATACAATCTCCATCGATCAATCACCCCAAATATGAGGTCAGATGTCACATTATTAACTCATAAAGTAAAGTAATAAAGTTCACGTAAGGTTCCAGTAAATATTTTTATTAACTTTTAGATTGTATTATTGTATAATAATGCCAAAATCTTCTATATTTTATTATATGTATTTATACATTTGCAGCGACCAACTGATAACATGATTACTATGTACTTCAGTGACTTTTAAAAATATATAGATAGTCAAGCACATACATACAAGTATGTACGTACTGTTATGGTATTCGTGCTTTTATTATTCTCTTTAAACAGTTGTTCCATAAATTAGAAAATCTTATACTAGGTTGATATACAATCACATTTATTTTATCAGTAAAAGTACATGGACATATTAACACAAATTTAATATGAAGAATAAATAAAAAATGAGCCTTAGTCGGTTTTTGAAGCAACCAAATAGGTTTTTTCTTTAAATATGAAGTAAATATTTTTATTTCATTTCATTTATAATATGTTTGAACCGATTTCAGCCCTCTTCGATGCGAAATGGCACTACACTATGTCTAACAATTTTACTTGATTTTATGCTGTTAACTCCATGACCTATATATGTAGTTCAGATTAAATGGAAGAGAAAGACAATATGGGATCCACAAGATAATGTGAACCGATTGCATTAATCTTCTGTATAGTGTTATGTTAGGTGGGAACTCTCCATAAACTCTAGTTCAAGCTCTCATCTAACCGGTAATCACCTAAAGTAAGACACCTTATTCTATTTGTGATAGTCTAAAAGCGCTTTATCGATAATATGAGGATTTTAGATCAATCTTTGGTTATATAATGATTTTAATTATAAAAATACAATTTTAAAAATATTTTTATACAAGTACATGTATTTTGTATTTTTAATTTTTTAACTAATTATTATTCTTCCTCACTTTTTCTTTACAGTTGCTGGCCTTGCGTGTGCGTACCCTATTGTATGGACTCCTGCCAGAACGCCAACCACTACTGTCCCAATTGCAACGCATTCATTGGAACCTATACAAACTAACTGTAATAAACCAAAGCGGAAAGTAATAAACTTAAGCAAAACTAACAAAAAAAAAGCTTTTTTCAAAAAAAATAAACCAAAGCCTCGAAGCGAGAAAAAAATTTTTTGAATTAATAGATGAGACGAAGTGAAGCTACTAAAGTATTTGGATGCAAATAAATGGAACATAATTGATAAAAAAAAACGCGTTTACTTAAATATTTTTACTATAATAAATATATATATTGTATATACACTGACTTGCGTATATTTGACTATATTGTGAAAAAAGTGTCGAGAATGAAACATTTGAATTAATTTTTGAATAAATTGCTATTGTAAGGAAATACATTATATTCCATATTTCTATGCTGTACTATTTTCGTAAGATAATGTAAAGAATTGTACTTTATAAAGATTAAAATATTTACATACATACATACTTTGTTAACGACGATGAAACGCATTTAACGAGAAATACATAATATATATGGTATATGTGGTATACCGGAAACTAAAGATTACTTTGTTTTTCTTACAACCCTGTAGTAAGATTTGAAGCTATCAGTTCAAAAAAATCATGGTTTGAGAAGTATCTTTAGATTCAGATAAATTTTAGTGGCCGCTAGTGGGTTATAAACGATCGGTTGAAGCAAACATTTGGACTGGGTACATAAATATTCATAATTTGTTATAACACGGTTTCTATAAACTAAATTAAAGACAAATAAGTGGCCACTAAAGGATTGAAACTTATTCCATAAAGAAAAAGTTTTTTAAAGGTTACACATAAAAACATAATGTTGTAATTAATCTGAGCGAAATTTAGTTGGGTGATTATGAGAGGGTTAAAAACGACGAAGCAATAAATTAACCTTTAGATTTTAAAATGTCTGTAACAATTAGAGAGTTGAGAAATGTATTGAAATAAATTAAAAATTAGATATATTAATTGATATACATATGTATAAGGTTTAAACGTGATCGCTCGTGATCGTGACAGGTTGTTGAGTTTAAACATATCTGGAATGGTTTTTTGAATAAATTTTTGGATTGAGTACTAAATACTTTATATTAGACGGTAATAACATAAGTAGTAATTTTCTGGAAAAAAGTAGTTGAGAACAAATTTTCTGAACAAAAGTAATTTTGTTTATTAACGTACCCTTTCAACCAAAAGTGAGCTTCATCGCTAAAAAAAAGTTTTTTGTGAAAATCGAGATCGGTGGCTATCTAGTCTTAAGTCCATTCTTCGAACGTGCGACGCGCTCCCGCAAAATATCTCAAAATCTTCCATTAAATGGGGAACGGTTCCAATTATTACTCCACAGCAGCAATAACGTCTTTTTCTGCACTTTCCGTTATTACCGTTAGCTATAATGTACACGTAATGTGAGTAGTAACCTTCTATTTGAGTCTTTTCATCTTTATTTTCTTTTGAATAAATAAAAACACTTCAATTTCATCACGTGTTTTTGTTTCGCACTAAAAAAAAAATTTGACTGGAAACGCTACTTAAAATAGAAATTAAATAAACAGTAATCACCGAAGATACCAAATTTGGAGATTGTACTTATAAAATCCCCATCGATGACGCCAGAGTCGACTTATTATTAAGAATAGTATGCTTAAGTTTATACTATTCTTAATAATAAGTCGATCCCTGTAGCGAACTAAATATATTTTTCTCAATACAACGAAACAAAGTAAGCTATAAATGAAGGTTTTCTTAATAAATCATGCATCAACTCAGATGTAGTAATCCTTAAATGAAAAGCGTCAATTAATTATGGTATATGGAAAAAAATAACCGCGAAATTTCATTACTTTCCTTACTTTTACATCATAATTTACCTGATATTTACTGTAAAACAACAAAAAACTAACAACAACAATATACTAGTTTAACACCTATGTTAGCGTTGTAATTAGCAGTTACTAGTCATTACTAGCAATAATCATATGCAACGAGTTTGCTTAATAACTTTCACTGCAATTCAAATCGCAAATATAAAATCAAAATTCTTGTACATGGTTAACTATATTTTATATGGTATATAAATATGCCTATCGACATATAAATAGCAATAAAAACCCATTTATAATGCTAAGCGCATTTCCTTGTCAATTTTAATGATCATAAAATATCAGACAACAAACACAAAATTTTGAAATGCATTATGCACTGCATCGATTAATTTCAAAAAATTCGGGAAAATTGTCTTTGTAAGTCTAAGCTTAAGATTATATCTTAAATTAGTTTAAAGATTAGCTGAATTAGGTTAATAACTCCTTTTAATAGAATTCATGAGTTTTTCAGGTCGTACCCCAAAACTTTGTTGTTAAGACTAAGTTTTGAATTTTTATTTAAAAGCCATTTTCAACTTGCTGTTCTTATTTTTATGCTAGTGATTTTGCTTGATATATGTTTTTTTTTCATTTGAGCCTTCTGTCCAAGTAAATGCCAAGATAAAATATACATATACCTATAACTCGATAAATAATTAAATTTTCGCAAAATTTTTTAGTAATTTTATTAATAATTGGTTAAAATTACTGTATTATAAAATTTTTTTTTTATTAAGGATTCCATATAGAAAATTAAATATAATATTATATTATAATTTTTTATCATTCGAAAGATACATTTTTTATAAACATTTTGTGTGATTTTCAAAGGAAAATCGGAGATTTAAACTAGTGAAAAGTGTATTCTTTGAAGCCGTTTTTATAAAAAAATGCTAATTTTGAACATTTTCAACGTTTTTTTGTTTTCAAAATAGTTGTAATTGAAAAAAAATATATATAATATTTTGTTCAAGACCTTGTAAATTATATCTCGAAGACCTGTGTAAAATTTCATTAAAGTCGGTCGAGTAGTTAGCGAGAATTCTTGACAACCTACTTTGAAAACACAGTTTTGAGAAATACATGTTTAAAGTTTTAAGTGCCTATATAGCTGAACTCGAATGCGCAAATTTTCAAGGCTGTATCTCCAAAAAGATTACTCGGATCAACCGGAACATTTGGGAAAATATAGCAAAGATGTTATAGAATTTATTAAGACATTAAAAAAAATTTGGAAAAAATTTGTTGAAGCCTAACCAACTCGTATCTAGGTGCGCTGAAAACCAGTACACATCTAAATATTTCGTTAAAGTGACACTTTATTATTCTAGCGCTTTGCTGACAATAGGCTACGGTATATATTTTTTGCTGTAAAAATAAAACAATCCCTGAGATCACGGCTTTCCTGTTCCTTGGCGCCTTAAGAAAGCATAAGCAAAACCGCGGTCATTGATCTCAACATTTTATCAGAGTTCCCCCACTAACCCAACAACTGCTGGCGTTTTTGAATTGAATGTTAACCTTTGCCTTACTAAGCCACAGTATTTAGTCGAAATAACCTGCAGAGGTGTACTACGTGGCTTTCCCACGATGTCATAAAAAATTACACAAAATTGAAGGAAAAAGTATGGAACTAGTGGCGGGAATTCCAAGAGGGAGAAGTCACCTAAAGCCAAAGTCATCATAATATATCGTCAAATGAAACAGTTTTCCATACAAGGAAGAAAAGGATGTATGCAAAATTTCCAAATCTCTCAAAACCTGAGGAAGTGCTTCGCGTATACACCGACAGACGGACATGGCTAAAGCGACTCAGCTCCTCATGTCGATTATTTATATATATATTTGACGGAGCCTCCGACTTTTCTTTCTGAGTGTTACAAACTTCATGACAAACTTAATATACCTTGTTCAGGATATAAAAAAACTCGTCAGGTCAATAATGAATATATAGCGATCCCCAAAAACCTAGACGTGATTTAAACAAAATATAATTGTATATTAATATCAATGATTTTTTATTTAGATTTAGGAAAAAAAGAAGTGAAGAGTAGACTCTCAACTTTTATGAAGAAATAAATCACAATTTCTAAAACTAATATTAAACTGATCGTTTTTAAACAAGGCCATAAAAATAAGTTAAGCAAAATAAATTTTTCTCTCTAAGAGAGAGTACCTCTAAGTTTTGAGTACCCAATATTTTTCATTGTAAAAATACTTCCAAATATGCTTATGCTACATTTCTGGCTACCAGTGTGTTAAATTTATCAGGAGATAAACAAAAATGTTTAAACAGCTGTTTCATTTTATTTCCGAATGAAGAAATGAATGTAACAAAAAAATGTCTGTTTACTTTTTCTTTGTTTCGAATTTCATTTATATTTTTAAAATATATGAATTTTGCATTGAAAATTTTTAAAAAACGTAAACATGATTTTAAATATCTCACTACTATATTGTGCAAATTTTCGGTGAAATTAAGTCTACTAAATTACTAGGCTCGTGAAAATGAGCCACCACACGTTCCACATGCAGGTACCAACGCCGCATTCAACGCCAATGACCTGTCCCAGTTGTGGTGAATCTATTTGTACGACAGTTGAATATCGGCCGAGTATTAAGACACACATAATCGGCTTGATACTCTGTCTTATGTGGTGAGTATGTTTGTTCATGCAAATTTAAATTATTATTAGACAGAGAAAGCTCTTTCAGCTAAAGTTGCAGTTTAGCTCGACAACTATTGTCGTAGCTGTCTGGAATAAAGCGAGTTAATATCATCTAATTCAATCAGATTTAGCAAGATTAGAATTGCAACACATTTGGGTTTAACCACTGGCCATTCAGGCCCCATGGCTGGACTCGATATAAGTGATAGTTCAAGGGTGATATATGAAAGTTTTGATTCATTTTTGGAGCCTTTTATACCCTGAACAAGGTATATTAAGTTTGCCACGAAGTTTTTAATACCTTCAAGGAACTGTCAAGCAGCGTAACGAGCTGAGTTGATTTAGCCATGTACGTATGCATGTATATATATGTATATACGCGAACTAGACATTCAGTTTTGGAGAACATACAAACTGAACGATCAAAGTCAAGTTCTTGTATGAAAACCTATTTATTTGTGAAGAGTAGTCTAGATTCGGTGCAACCGATGTTAGCGTTCTCCCTTGTTTTCAGTATAAATTTTATTTAGCTTAATTATAATAGCGTTCTTCTACTCTTCTTCTCTACAGTTGCTGGCCTTGCGTGTGTTTACCCTACTGTATGAAGTCCTGTCAGAATGCCAATCACTATTGTCCCAATTGTGACGCATACATTGGCACATACAAAAATTAACAAAATAATAACCAAAGCGGAAAATAAGAAGCTAAAGCAAAATGAAACAAACTCTTTTTAGAAACATCTTTAATAAAATAAGTAGTAGCCTAGAGCTGCATAAGAAAATGGATAATAAATGCTTCATTACATCTTAGCTATATACATATATATTATATATAATGTGAACTAATATTTGGATAAAATTAAAAACTTTTTTAAAAATACAAAATATTATTAATTTGCCATCGAAAACTGAAAACATTTCGAAATGTATGTAATCATGTATATACGTATATTCAATGATCACGCATTTAAGAAAGTCTTCTCGTAAGTAATGTGGAGATATTTTATTTTTACATAAAATAAGCAACGATCGATAAAATTAAACCGGAGGGATTAATCCTGATATAACCACATGTCGTATGTAAGGAGTTTCTTAAATTTCTCAGGAAAAGTATTTAGAAAGCTTTATATGTACAGCTATTTTGGAATAGAGTTGCCATCTCACAGAATATAAAATTAAAAAATATAAAAAAATTGTATCCGAATAAAGAGTTTCAAAAAAGCAAATTCGCAGAGTTTTATTTTAAATATGTCTTGGCATATTGTTATCCCTAATCGAAAGATGGAAACTAATGTGAAACAAAATTAAAAAAGATTAAAATTTTTCACCCGATTTTATCCATTTTAGGCAAAAAGATACACTGTTATTAGAAAAACACGCTCTCTCAATTTCACTAAAATAACTCACATATTGGCCGATATGTGATATGGTATAAAGTCAACTGGAAGTTCTAAAATCTTTAAATTAGCTATAAGCTCAAATTTTCAAAATTCAAACATTTTCCAACGTTTTCGAAAAAAAGGTCAGCCATACGTACTAGAGTCCACATATCAGAAGGTTGGTATACTTTTAAAGTGATTATTTTTGAAATAAGTGTGAATTCAGAAAAAGGCTTTTATTTTGACAAAAATTATTATACAATACAAGTGAGTGAATACATTGCAAATTTTAAATGAAAGGAAAACATACGGCAAATTTGGCTAGACACATACAAAGAAAGCACGCCGACGTTTCAAGAAGATCGTTGGCGATATTTCGAAAAGAAATTCAAAAGCACTCTACATTAAATTTCTTTCATTGACAGTCACATTTTTATCAGCACATATTATATAATGACTAATATAATAACTATTGTATCTTCCATACTAGGTATATTAAATGTATTTAGTTTGTAATCAACGCTGAAATTTTAATACAACACATATTTTACACGAATTGATTTCAATTATGAAGCCTTTATTTCCGTAGATACATACTTGTATGTGTAGTATATACATATTGCATATCAATATATCAATTAGTATAAAAACTGAATAATTTGAACCGAACCGAGTCGCGGTTCAGAGATACTCATACACCGATTCTTGAATCGTATAAAGTATTCTGATTGGTTCGACCGCTGAACCGAACAGCATCGATTTTTGTTTGTGCAGCTCTGCTATTTACAATGATATCGTCGTGGACACTTTGCCGAATATGTGGCTCCATGTGTTGTTAGCTAGAAAAATTAGGGCAAATTTTTAAAATAGTTTTTAATATCAAAAGTAAATTCAAACAGTCCAGACCTTCCTTGACTAGTATATAACTCATTAAAATTTTGACCTTCCGGTTGATACCATCTCTATATTAGCAATATGTTCAACTCTTGAACGGAATTAAAATTATGTAACCCCATTTCCTGCCTGATAGCCCAATATATCGAATTTCAGCCCACATTAGTAATATGATGAGTATAGATATTGGTGTTAAAAAAGTTATAACTTGTAGTATAAATACCTCGGGCATGAAGGAAAATGTAATAATGAAAAATTACCTATGTGTAACTTTTGATCCTTGAAAATTTCGAAAGTATAGATTAATCGATTATACCCGAATGTAGCCGTTACTTACTTTAAATAATTAGATTTATAGGGGATTTAAAAGTTTACTTTTAAAACTAAAATTTAACCGCTTTTTATTTACATCAATTATACAATTATTATTTACTTTATACATCTTATAATACTCGTTCTAATAACTGGTGTCAGCTTATGTAAATATATTTATATATGTACGTCTCTATAAATCTTTATTAAATTGCTATAATATTTTTGGGAGACTGAAAAAGGCACTATTATAGAACTGTAAGTTAGTGTTAGAACTATTCATATATGTATGTATGTAACATATGTATTGTATGTGGCTATATTGGCAAGTGAAACAGTGTTGACATACCTCAAACAACAGATTCTCAATGTAGTTTGGAACAAGCAACGACGTGTTGTCGGAATATTGCCAAGAAATTCGGAGCGTAAAAAATACAAAAAGAAAGTAAGTGAAGATTTCGATTCGATGCGGTGCCGTCATCTTCCGAGATGTGATATATTTTTTTATATTGTAAAGTGTTAAATAATTTTTAAACATAGATAAGTTTCAAGAGTGAAATGAGAAAAAAATCATATATAATAATATAATTGATTTACTCTGATCTGGATTTGGCAAGATCAAAAATAAATACTTGAATATGGAGATTGTGGACGAATGAGCTAAATTCATGTTGCTCAGTGTCAAAAGTGCTTGAATTTGCAAACTGTAATGGAGGAGAAAACATATTTACATAGGTCGCACCAGGATTCCTTTGCTATTTTTCTTTCGATAAAGTTATCATATTGAACAAAAGTTAATCCACAGCTTGCTTGAAAGCAGTTTTCTCTCCCTAGAATCGACTTTCCTGAACTCCTTTTTCAGTATTCTCAATGATTTCGTAGTAGTAATTTTATCGGAAATAGAAAGTTTTCAGCACAAATGTTAGGTTAGCTAAGGTTAAATGGTCGATTCTAACAGGAATCTCACTTGAACAGCTTATAGTTGGCCCACTGTAGTACCAGTAAGAACTATTAGGATTGGGGCAAGACGAACTTTGATAAGCGCAAGTAGTACAATACTTGTAGATCTTTTATGTTCTAGTCTAGGCCAGAAGGATCTGGAAAAGCACCACCACAAGTAATACTAGCTTTAAAAATTAGTATAATATAATATAAATAGTATATATATTGCCAGTGTGCCGGTTATATATATTATAGTTTAACAGTTACCAAAACTCATATTGATGGTTTCATATTCACAATATATCATATACTGGCGAAAGTATAGATGTACATACTATATATTATAAAATAGTTGCGCCAAAATTGCTTTATTACAGTAATCAAGTAATAAGAACACTGCCATCTCGTGCTTCTCTCATTTCGGCTGACTCTTCTCAGAGAACAATTATCCATACATTTTTAACCGCCAACGTGTCGGGCATGTTTACCGACGAAAGTACAAAAACTTGTGGCGCCGAAAATCAATATAGGTGAATTTTGGGGTTGACATTATGGCCTCATCTCTGAAGACAGGTATATTTCTTACACTAAATATAATATATACATATGTACACATAAGTTTATATTTACGACGGTTGCATATTCAATATGTATAAAATAAATTTCAGTTTAATTGATTGAGTGACTCGAGATGTGCTTTTAATTAATGCTTAAGCTTGCTCGTATATAAAAATAATTAAATTCAAATTTAGAAGAAATTAATACTTAACGTATGTTGTGTGTTTATTAAAAATTATTAGCTGTCATCAATTTGTTTAACCTCTGCTCTTGTTAAACATTTAAAATTTAAAAGCAAACAACAAAGTGGTTGTTTTTAATGTATACCAATTGTTTGTTCGATTTGACACTTTCTAGGTTTTAATGAATTTTTAAGTAAAGGTTATATATTCTTTAGTCTAAAATGAGAACAAGCGAGCTAAATATTTGTCAAGATACTCAAACGACACTGGCCACTAGGAACCTAATTTCTTTATATAAACTGAAAATGGCATTACATATAGATAATCTATGTATATATATATAAAAAGAAAGTCGAGTTAGCTACACTATTTATTACTCAAGAGCGGCCGATTTGGCTAAAACTTGTGGGAAGGTAGCTTAGAACCAGGGACGGATACAGGATAATTTAATCTTTTGTGTTAAAAGTCAAAACAATTATTTATCAAAGCATGTGTTCAAATTTCATGTAAGAATCATTTGCAAATGTATTTATTTTATTATAGCTAGCACAGAAATTTTTATACATATATGTATGTTGTATAGTTATACTAATTGTTGTAACTGAACAAAGCGGTTTCTATTCTTGCACACAACATGTGGAAACGACAAGGCATTTATACAGGTTGGTTTGAAAGTTTCTACTTTCAAAGAAATAGCACTACTAAGCTCAATTTTTCAAGTTGGTTCATCTCTACAAGTCATTCTGATTAATTTATTTTTGTTTGCAAGTCATTTAGTTTTTAATATGGAAAAATTTAATATCGCGCATGATTACATTCTAATTAAGTAATTAATAAGTTAATTTACCTTCACTCACCGTTAGCAAATAATAATTAAAAAGGATCGATTTAGGCGGGTGCTCAAGAACTGATCCTTCTTGAGTCGATGAAAGCGGCGGAAAATGAGGATCCTTCTTTGATCCCATATATACCTATTGATAATATCTTCATGGTGGTGGCATGTGATCGGCGTTAAGTATGTTGTGTGCGTGTTGGTGCATGGTGTAGTGATGTGGAATGTATGGTAAATGGGTGTGGTGATGTGGATGTGAATTGGTGTAATAGTGTGACAGTGTCTTACGGTGAGGGATTAGTGGTCATTTAGCCAAATACTTCGACAAGTCAGTAGCTAGTAGTCGCTGCAGCTGTTGCTTAACGATTTCCACAACGCTGCTCAGTCCGATGGAACGACGTGGTTGCGGTCTAGGCTGTATCTCGACGCCGTGGTGGTACATTCCGCGGGCGACACCGCGCACGAGTAGAGATCGAAGATCCCCTCCTGTGCGCGGCTTCGCAGGTAGGTGTCCGACCAACGTCGCGCCTCGAGTGCGATGAAGTAGTGTGTGTTGACGGTCTGCTGCAAATTTGGCACAACCCGTGGACTACTCTTGAGTCCCATGCGTGTGCGATAGGCAGTTTAGACAGTGTCCGTGTGCCTGGAGCAACTTGTTGTCGACAACGATCGCATACTTCTGAAAATCCCACAATGTTGCAGGCGATGTGGGCGCCGACAAATGGGACATCGTATACGATATGCCTCTGAAGGCGGCGATGATAGCGTCGGTGAGTCGCGT